CTCTGTAGTCCTGGCTGTCCTGGAACTCACTCTGTAGTCCTGGCTGTCCTGGAACTCACTCTGTAGACCAGGCTGGCCTCAAACACAGAGATCTGCCTGCCTCTGCCTCTGCAGAGCCGGGATTACGGGTGTGCACTGTGGCACTGGCTCTCCACATAGGTTCTGTAGGCGACCTAGGTCTGCATGTTTCCTCAGCAAGCCGTGACCATTTGCGCTGTCTCTTCAGCCTCCAGCCCAGCTCGCGCCCAGCTGCCTGTATGGCTTCTGAGCAGCTTTATCCTCTCCTTGAGCCTCACAGGGTTCATAGCATTAGTTCAAGGAGATGGCGTGTGGAAACACCTGGCACAGAGCACGTGATACATGGAGGCCGTGGTCCCTCCTTCCACTACTTGGCAGGGACAAAGGGGCCACAATGTTGGATGGGTACAGGGCATAGCAGTGCCTGGGACAAAGCAGCCCTGCATCAGGCCAGGCTTTGGAGCTTGAGGTGCTGACGAGGTCTCAGCACCCCTAGCGGGTTCCTGTCTCTCACACATTCCTATTGAGAAGGTTCCAGAAATTCCACGCCTTCCAGCACACTGGCTTTATGTGTAGCTTTCCATTTCTAGAGATGAAACAGAAGCTCACCTGCCCTGCTTCCCCAGGAAGATGCCGATGCCAGGACACAAACCAGAGTTCCCAGACACTACTCCAGCCAAGGCCTGGGAGGCAGCCATTTCAGTGAATCCTTCAGCGCATCATACCGCTCACCAGTGCTGGGTGTGGAACTCGGGTCCCCCCACTTGCTACACGAGCCCTCCACCGCTGGGCTATATGCTAGCCCTCTTTTTGCATTTTATTCTGAGCTATTATCTAAATTGCCGAGGCTGGCCCTGAACTCAGTCCACAGCCCATGCTAGCCTTAAACTCATGACCACCCTGCCTCAGCCGAGTAGCTGGGATTGCGCCTGCCATACTATGCGTGACTCTAGTCCCATTTTTTATGGATGGGAAAACAGCTCAGGCAGATTGACTTGCGCGGTATGCTACCAAGGACAAAAGCCAGGACAGGGTACAGATATCAGCCACTACCTCTGTCAGCTGATGAGAGCGGTCATGTGACATGCCCACAGCCACACAATGTCAATAAAGGTAAAGCTAGAACCAAGGCACATCTGTGCTCTGCTCTGACTCCTAGATCAGAGCACTGTTGCTTCCTTTTGGGAGAGATGGGAGGCCACCCCTGTTTCCCCTCCTCCTAGTGTCTGACAGCCATCCATCTTTCACTGTGCAATGCTTGTCCCCATTCTATGCTCAGTGCATGAGAGAACTGGAAAGTGTGGTCCCTGGGCTGGTACCCAGAGCCTTTGCTTTGCCTTCACACGGGCCTAGGTTCAATCCCCAGCCCCACGGAAATCCGAGGCGCGATTTCTATGCCCGTGACCGTAGGAGTCAGGCAGGCAGGCAGGCAGGAAGGGGCTGAACAGACTACTCAGTGGTTATGAGGTACTTGCTGCTTTTGTAGAGGACCCGACTTCAGTTCTCAGCCACATACCCTGTCTCACAACTGCCGGTGACGCCAACTCCAGAGGTCTAACACCCTTTTCTGGCCTCTGAGGGCACACACTCAGACACACACATATGCACGTGATTAGAGATAAAATCTTTAAAGAAAAGAGAGATGGGAGGGGAAGAAAATGTGGTCCCCCTTGGAAGCGTGACAGCCCTGGAGTGGGCGTGAACCCTGGAGGCCGCGCTGAACCCTAAAGTCTGGAGTCTTAGCAAGGAGCTGAGGACACAAACTGTTGGGATGACCTTGAAGGACCCAGGCAGAAAATGCCCCTGAGAGGCAGAGAAAACAGGAACCCGAGAAGGCTGCCTGGACAAGGTGTCAGCCCTACCTTAGTGGTTTTTAAAGGATAGACATAAATGCACAGATAGAGATATGAACACAAGTCAGTGGCAGACACATAGAAGCCCGTGGACAGAGGAGAAAGAAGGAGGAAGGGGGTCTCAATGGATGGCAGCCAGGTGGCCCAGCCTCTTGGGTCCATTCTGGGATGGCTCAAGATGGGCAGAGTCAGTGTATTCCAGCCCTAGTTTCTGCTTGTCCCCAGCCCTTAGTCCTTAGAAAGGTCACAAATGGCCCTGCCAGGATACAGGAGGAATCAACCTGGTCCCCACACCTCTCCCTGTTCCGGCCTCTCCTTTGAATATTTTGGACATCTTTCATTCAGCGCTCATGGCTTCTCAACCCAGTGTCTACCCCTCACTCCCGACCCACTCCCCACCCACTCTCCCTGGCCCTAAGTGGAGGTGACGCTTGCTTCTTTCTTGCAGGAAGAAAGCAGAGATCACCAGCTCCAGTGGTCAGGGGGCCTCCAGCCACCAGAGCCACACCTGTCCCCCAGGGCATAGCTGCTTCCCTGACTTCAGTTCCCTGCTACGCCCTGTCCCTTATTTCTCCAGTTAGGATCCTTCGCCAGCACGAACATCCCACCCGACCCTCTGTATTCAGGACAGAGGCCAGTCTTCCTAGCCAATACCCAGTACGTGGACCTGCTCACCCCACAGATGAGCCGTCCCTGAAGCCCTTCCCCCTCTGAGGTGCCTGCCTGCACCCGGTCCTGACCCGCAGCGCAGCCCCGACACTGCTGGGGAGCCAAGGTCTCCAGTGACTCGCGCAGACATTTTCACAGCCCGGGCCGCCTGCCAGGCCTTATCAAGCTTGACCTAACTGCGTCATCCCAAGGCCTCTGCACATTTTCCCCTTCCATCTTGGAAGCCCCCCCTTCCCCCCCCCCCCCATCTCCTCCTGGCCAGTTTCATGGTGGAGTGGTTGGCTTGTGGAAGGCTTCTATCTCCTCCCTCCTCCCCACTCCTTCCCTCCCTGCTCTTCCTCCATGACCTTCCGTGATGGAGAGCCATGGTAGAGAAAGGAGTATGGGCCACGCCTGTGTGTTGGCCCTGAGTTTAAATCCCAGCCCGGTCAGTGGGCTACTGGGAGCAATCTCTCCTCTCTAACCCACACTCTTTCTCTAGGAAACAGAGGATCAAACTCCAACCAATCACACAGGCGGCTGGAGGTGGGGGAGGGGCACAGAAGGGGGGGCGGCGAATGGAGACCCTTTAGCCCCCTGACCTCCTGGTTCTCACTCTACACATCCAGTTTACAGGCCTCTTTCTAGGTCTGTCCCACCCCACCCCCCTTTTTTTCTTTTTGGCTGGGTCCTATATTTCTGCCTACTTATGTATAGTATTTTTCTATTTAAAAATTCTTCATATTTGTTTAGTTATTTTGAGACAGGATCTTGTTTTTGTTGGTGGTGGTGGTCGTGGTGGGTGGTGGGTTTCTTTTTGTTTTGTTTTGTTAGGGTCATTTTACACAGTCCTGGCTGTCTTGGAACTCACTATGTAGACCAGGCTGGCCTTCGGCTCACAGAGACCCACCTGCCCCTGTTTGCTGTGTGCTGGGTTAAAGGTGTACGCCATCATGCCCATCCTTTGAGATGGAGTCTTACGTTGGCCAGGTTGGCCTCGGTGTAAAACCAAGAATGACCTTGAGTTTCTTATCCTCCTGCCTCTACCTCCCCAGTGCTGCGATTATAGGCAAGCACCACCATGCCTGGTTTCTGAGGTGTGCTGTGTGGATAGAATCCAAG